CTCCTGGCAGCACCAATTACGTCTGAGAGGAAGATGGGCATCGAAGAAACTTGTTATGGAGTTTGCTTTCAACATGGCAAGATTATCCATTTGGGAAAGAAACTGCTCTTGCCTGTACTGCTTGACTGTTGTTGTATAATCTGGACATGCAGGACCCACAGGAAAGTGACTGCTGAACTCAGTCTTACAGGGTTCCTGCTTCATGGAAGAGTCTACAAGACTTTCTACAGGACACAGAGAAATGACTGACAGACTGCCAATGCAGATGGACAGTTTGTAATTTCCTGCTTTGCTGAGAAATCTTCTGGACACATTGTGGCCTATGGGCTGAAGATGAATGTCCCAAGATTACAGAGGAACTTCGGGTGACTGTCCAGGCAGTAAGATATCTCTGTCAATCCTAGTGTTTATATATCATCCTTCTGTGGTCTTTGATGGAGTTGAAGACAGATAGTTATAATTATAGTTTTCCTTAGTTATGATAAAAGATAAGCTACATATAGAACTTTGGACTCACAAGGATGGGATGGATGATATTTTCTTTAAATCTTGCTAAAATATTGTAACTATGTTCTTATTTGATAACTGTTCTGTTATATACAATTTGACTGTGTTAAAGTTAAGACCTTTCTTTTTGTTTAAACAGAAAAGAGGAGATGTTGGGGAAGTCCTGTTATTTGTCAATAAAGCATTGCTGGCCAATAGGAATCTAGATAGGTGGGACTAAGAGTCCAGGAGGACTCTGGGAAGGAGAAACACAGGAGAGTCGAGATGTAACGCCATGGGGTAGAAAGCCCGGAAACTTCTCCGGTAAGAGACATACTTAGATTAACAATTATGGGGTAATTGCTTAAGTCAGAGCTACCCAGTAAGAAACAAGCAAGGCCAAGAGCTTCATAATTAATATAGCCTCCTGTGTGTTTATTTGGGACTGATGCGGCTCTAGAACCAGGCTGGCGGGAAGGCTTCTCTCAAGGAAAAAGCCTCCCTTTACACACAATTCTTTACAGACCTTGAAAAAACAATACTCAACTACACGTGGAAAAAATAATAAAATCTAGGATAGCTAAAATAATGCTGTACTCCACTACAGAGTTACAGTAATTAACCAGCATTAAAGCAGGCAGGTGGATGAATGGAATACAATTGATGACCCTGATCCACAGACCTAAGGACACTGAGTTTTTGACAAAGACACCACAAACTGCCCTGGCACAACTGGATACTGGCATACAGAAGAATGCAAGTAGAGCTATATCTCTTACCCTGAACAAAACTCAAGTCCAAGAGGATCAAAGACCTCAACATAAATCCATTTACACAGAAACTGATAAAGTGGGAAGTAACCTTGAACACACTGGCCCAGGAGACAAATTCCTGGATAGGACACCAGTAGCACATACACTCAGATTGACAATTAATAAATGGGACATCCTGACACTGAAAGGCAAAGGATACTGTCAGTAAGACAAAATAAGACATATATAGAATGGCACTAGATCTTCACCAACCCTATATATGCCAGAGGACTGACCTCCAAAATATATAAAGAACTCAAGAAATTAGATATAAAACCAAATAATAAAATTAAAAATGGGGTACAGATCTAAACAGAAAATTCTCAACATAAGAATTTTACACAATGGAGTACTATTCAGCAGAAAAAAACAATGGAATCCTGAGATTTGCAGGCAAATGGATGACACTAGAAGAAACCATCCTGAGTGAGGTAACCCAGTCACAAAAAGAGAAACATGGCATGTACTCTCTCATATATGGATTTTAGACATAGATCTGGGGAGTGCCAGCCTACAATACCATGGCCAGAGAGTTTCTGGGAAACAGAAACTTCATTCAGTGGCTGATGGAAGAAGAGGCACACTCCCTTGGTTAAGTACTGAGCTGAACTCAAGAAAGCCAGTAACAGAGAGGGAGGACTGATGACCAAAGGGATTAAGACTGGGCTGGTTTAACCCCCCAGAAACAGCTAACCTGACAAAGGTTAACTCTTGAATCCCAGGCATCAGCCTGGGAATTCAGCATGGGACTGATCAAGACCCCCTGAATGTGGGTGTCAGTGAGGAGGCCTAGGTAATCTATTGAGCCTTGGGCAGCAGATCAGTACTCATCCCGAGTATACACAAGGACTTTGGACTCCCATCCAACAATGTGAGGTGCACTCTCACCCTGAACTCTTTGGGGAGGGTCTAGGCCCTGCCCTGTATGAAATGACAGACTATGGACACCTCCATGGAGGGCCTCACCCTCCCTGGGGAAATGAGGGGATAATGGGGGGGGGGGTTGGGGGAAGGCACGGGAGGAGGGGAGGGAAAGGGAGAGTGACCTGGAACTGACGTGTGAAGCAACCTTGTTTCTTATCTAAATTTAAACTGAAAAATAAATTTAAAAAAAAAGAATTTCAAATGGCTGAGACACACTTAAAAAACTGTTAAACATCCTTAACCATCAGGGAAATGCAAATCAAAATCCCTCTGAGATACCTACCATCTTACAACTATCAGAATAGCTAAGATCAAAACACTAATTGTCCCAGTCCAGCCTGGACGAAACTCGGAGCAGAGACCCGTGAGGAATGAAAATAGAGGGGCAGGAGGCGTGAGAGGAAAGACCACAGACAGGGTTCTGATCAAGAGGCAATTTTAGTTTCTGCTGGGCTAGCTATGTAGTCAGTTGAGCAGGTTTGGAGAGGGTAGGTTTTGGGGGTAGTTGGCATGGAGCTGCAAGGAAGACCACAGGAGAAGGATGTCTGGCAGGGTGCAAACGGTGCAGGAGGGGTTGCCTTGGTAACTGTGCCTTGTGGCTAGCCTAAAGGGTATGTTTAGCCTCTGGGGTTGAGCATGATAGGGGAGGTTTGTTTCTTGTTAAGGGCAACTATAAGGTTTCTAGGAACTGGCTGTATAACTGTTCTAATTAGCTTGGTCCTGTGGCCAGAGTTCTGTATGTCCTAGGTGGCAATCTGAGACTGGCTTCCAACAACTAATGACAGCTTATGCTAGAGACGATGCAGAAAAAGGAAAACACTGCTTCCCTGCTGGTGGAAATGCAAACTTGTACAGCCACTTGGAAGTAAGTATGGAGGTCTCAGAAAATTGGGAGTCAATATACCACAAGACACAGCTATACTGCTCTTGGGCATATGCCCAAAGATTATTCAGTCATTCAACAAGAGCACCTGCTCAACTATGTTCGCAGCAGCATTACTCATAATAGCAAGAAACTGGAAACAACATAGATGCCCTTTAACCAAAGAATGGATGAAGAAACTGTGGTACATTTACACAATTTTGTATTATTCAGCTTTTAAAAACAGTGAGAAACTGAAAATTTGAAGGCAAACTGAACTAGAAAGAAATCATCCCAATTGGGTAATCCAGACCCAGAAAGACACACATGCACTCATTCATAAATGGACATTAGTTCTAAAGGAAAACCATGATACACACACTCCATAGTCCTAGAGAGGCTAAGTAAAAAGGAGGGCACAAGGGGACTCGCATGGAAGGGAAGGAGAAACAGAAGAGACATCCTGGCTAGACTGGGGGATGACTGGAATGAGAACCTGTGGCAGCCTGAGGGAGTAGATGGAGCAGAAAAGCAATGAAAGAGGCATCTTGAACCCGGGCCTTTTGGTGTGAGATAGAAATCTGGTACGAGGGAAACTTTGACAAATCTACAGGGATGGTCCCCGCTAAGATTCCTGGAAATAGTGCATAGGTAGAATGAACTGGCCATATATTGTAATCAGATTGGTAACTACCCTAATTGTCACCAGAGAACCTTTATCCAGTTACTAATGGAAACAGATACAGAGATCCACAGCCAAGCACTGATCGGAGGTCAGTGAATCTTCTTGAAGAGAAGGAAGGATTGTATGAGCCAGGACAGTCAAGGTCATCACAAGAAAACACACAGAAACAACTAACCTAACTAAAAGGAAACCACAGAATCTGGACCAACAGCTAGGGAACCTGCATGAGACCAACTTCTACATTGTGTGACAGTTGTGTAGCTTGATCTATTTGTGGGACTCCTAGTGGTGGAAGTGGGATCTGTACCTAACACTTTGTGTGGCTTCCAGGAACCTATTTCAGATAGTAGGTTGCCTTGCCCAGCCTTAACACAAATGGAGGAAATTGGTCCTACCTCAACTTGGCATGCCATGCTTTGTGGACACCCATGGGAGCCCTGCCCCTTTCTGAACAGAAACAGAGGAGTGGTTAGGAGTCAGGGAGGTAGGAGGTGGATGGCAGGAGAGGAAGGAAGGAAAACTGCAGTCAGGACATAAAAGAAATGAATGAATTTAATTACTAAAAAAGAATGATAAGGTTAGTAGGATGAGCAATTACACTTTACTGTGCTCAAAAACCACTTGTCTCTGTGACCCTGGGTTTCATCATCTGTGGAATAAGGACAGAATTCTGCCCAGATCCCTCGATGAGTTACAACGGACTCAATGATAAACAAAGCCCATTATTGTCCATAGTTGGAAGACAGTGGACTTAAAGCAGGAGGGCTGTATATTATGGGAGCTTTCTTCTGTTACTCCCAAAGCCTGTGTCCTGGATACACTAATAAGCAAGGCTCAGCGACTCATCCTTATTATACTAAATAAAAGAACCAATTTACTCAGTGGTGATGTGGCTACCTATAACGCAGGGAGGCACTCAGGAGTCAGGTGGGCAAATGTCTCTGACATTCTAACAGCCTAGTCTCTATAGTCAGTTCCAGTCCAGCCAGGGATTCATATGAGCCTATTTTTTTTTTTTTTTTTTGGTTTTTCGAGACAGGGTTTCTCTGTGGCTTTGGAGGCTGTCCTGGAACTCGCTTGGTAGTCCAGGCTGGTCTCGAACTTACAGAGATCCGCCTGCCTCTGCGTCCCGAGTGCTGGGATTAAAGGCGTGCGCCACCAACGCCCGGCCATATGAGCCTATTTTTAAAACAAAAAATGAAACAACAGAAAATGACAGGCAAATTATTAATGAAATTTAGAAGCATATTTATTCAGTTTGTCTAATCTGGAACAGTGAAAAAATATAAGATAACTAATCCATAATTGGGATCACAACAGGTTTAGATAGAAAGCAAAAGATATGCAAAACTAAGAAATCTAATGAAGCTACATACTGAATTTTTCCCAGATCTAAAAGCCTCCCTCATTCTCAGTTCTTTCTCTCCTGCTGGGTGGTCAGATAAGGAGGAAACGTTTTTCCAATAGAGACATCCTCAAGTGGAGGACTTTTGCCACAGAGAGATTTCCCAGGGAAACACAACTTCCAGATGTCTTTCTCCTCTACTTCCAAGATGGGAGCTCTAGAGATAAAACCCAGGGAGTTGCTTGGGTTTAAAACTTATTTATGTATTTGGTGGTGTGGGAGTTTGTACATGGCACAGCCCAAGTATAGAAATAAGAAAAAACTTGTAGGAGTCGTATGGGGCTCTCAGTTTTAGAACTCAGGACATCAGGTTTAGTAGCAACCACCTTTACCCACTGAGAAAAATTCTCTAAGACTCAATTGTGGGTCTGAGAAAGTGTTATAAACAGGTATTTAGTCCTCATAGTAAACTAATACATTCCATAAATAGATAAATTAATAAAAGATAGTGGTATATCACTTTCATTTACAAATAGGATTTATTATTCAAATTGTCCTGTTTTACTCTCCTTAGATGAAATTAAGTTTACAATCAGAAAAGAAGGTAACATTTACAGATGTAAAGTTTCACCTAATCTTCTTTGAGCATGTCTAAGGTGGCCCACTAGGAAGCATCTGCAGTGTGCAAGGCTGGTAACCTCACCTTGATCACCGTATGAAAATGGACAAAACTAGATCCCACAAAGGTGTCTTCCGGGCTCCACATAGCTATCATGACCAAAAACCCATAATCAAATTACACACACACAGACACAACAGAAATGATTTTATAAAAAATACATCTCAGGTGGTAGTAGTACAAAACTTTAATCCCAGCCCTCGAGAGGCAGAGGTAGGCAGACCTCTGTGCATTTGAGGCCAATATGGTCTACATAGTGAGTTCCAGGACAGCAACACTGTTGCACAGAGAAACCCTGTCTTAAAATAAACAAACAAAACAAAAAAAAACAAAACATAAATTTCATTGCTGTAACAGGTTCCATCTCTAGATAATTCCCTTAGAAGGCAGTACTTCAACATGTCATGTCAAATAGGTAACTAATAGTGACATAAGACACAGGGAATTTCAAAAGCTATTTACATATCCATAGCACATCAAGCTATGTTGAGAAATATGCATTTGATTGCTGATTATCCTACTTTATTCCATCTTTACCTGATAGATGAAAATGCTGCTTTGGATACATACGATTTCTTTTTACATTTTTTTTTACATTCTCATCCATTAACATTATTGACAAAAGAGCAAACAATAGGGTGCTTCATTTACCCTTGAACACCTTATGAGGATCATGTGTTCAATTGTATCCCTGATTAATTACTGACACCCAGGCCAGGCTGGATAACAAACAACCATGTCTCAAGGAAATTTGTCAAAATAGGCAAAACAAACCCAGGAACAACAGCCACACTCTTTCACAGACACACTTACATGAAAAGTATGCTCACACTCTGCATGGTATTTAAATGAACAATGGACCACATAGATGCTGAGCAACACATTCTATTCATTGCAAAAGAAACATACCTACCACTAAGTGAAAGCAAGTAGAAGATGAACAGAAGCCACAAAAGAAAATTAGGACTATAAAATAAATTACACTAACTTAATTGGCCAAGCACATGACACACATTAACAACTATCCCAAATATTGTAAAAGAGAAATCATAATGCTGTGATCTCGACCATCAGCCTGAGTAAACATAGTAAATTATTTACTTACTACGAGGCTACAATGAAAGACAAGAAACAAGATTTCTTTTCTTGAAAGGTATGACAAGTCTAAAGTCTTTACAAAATCGTTTACATGAATAGGGTTTCTATATTTCCTGATATCAAGACATTATTAAAAAGCTTTATAATATTTCCAGGGCTAGAGATATGGCAGAGCAGTTAGTTATAACAAGTTTATTCCCAGGAACAAGGTCAGCTTTTTGACAACTTTCTACAATTCCTGCTATAACAAGATCCAAAGGTCTAACCTCCTTGGATACTAGCATGCCCATGCACATACCCACGCAAAGACACACTGACATCGCATAATTAAGCTTAAATCATATCTTTAAACAAATTTTCACTCCCAAATGTTTTTCCTTGTGTAAGCATGCACACCTGTAACACAGATGTTGAGGTATTTAAATGCTTACAGAGGTATTCTTCATCTGGAATGGGTTTATGTACAAAACACAAGTATGTGGGCTTCAAGGAAGAGCAATCAGTCCTTCTCAATTGGTGGTATCAGTTGGGAAGACTTAGATGCTGCTCTGCTGGAACAAATGCGTCACTGGGGGTGGCCTGAGAGTTTGCATCACACACCATTTCCAGTTGTCACTCTCTGCTTCATGCTGAAGGATGAGGATGTGAGTTCTTAGTGTCCTGCTTTAGGGGCTGTGTCGACACCTGTTGCCATGCCACTTACATGGTGACCTTGCATTGCTCTGGACCATGAGCCAAACTAAACTCTTTCATGAGGTGACTTGGACATCTTTTATCACAGCAAGAGATAAGGCACTAAAACAAATTCATAAAGTTTTAATCCCCGATGAATTATTTCATATAACTGAAGAAAATCGGGAAATCCACAAGGGTTACCTTCTCTTTTAAATTCATAGAGCTTTTGTCCATATTAGTTTGGAGGTACAAATAATAAGAGGGACATTGTAATGCTTGAACAGATGGTGGACACTTGTCAGATTTTTTTTTCTCCAGAATAAATAATCTTGTGCAACTGGATGTTAAGTAGGCTAAACAACTTACCACATCCTTGAAGCTCAGGTTGCCTTCAGTATGAGTTTTTTGAGGCCCTCAAATGCTACTCTGACAGACAAAGGCATTAACATATCAATGACACAATAAAAGATTTTGTCTGGCATAAAGACAAGGAAGTAAAAAACTTTACCATAATCACTGAAATTACAGGGTTTTCCTGTAGTATGATTTTTTTCTCATAGTTTTGAAAACTGATATGTGCCGTATAGCGTTGATTATATCTGCTGGGATTCTCTCCAATGTTTTCTTCTATGTATTCGAAGATAACTGTGCTTTGCAAAGGTTTCAACACACTGATTACATTTGTAAGGTTTCTCTCCAGTATGTATTTTTTTATGTATTTGGAGACTACCGAGATAGGCAAAGTCTTTCCCGCATTCATCACACGCATAAGGTTTCTCTCGAGTATGTGTTCTTTTATGTAGTTTAAGCTGTCCATTACTTGAAAAAGCTCTACCACATTCAGTACATTCGTAGGGTTTCTCTCCTGTATGTGTTCTGATATGTATTTGGAGATGACTTTGTTGTGAAAAGGCTTTACCACATTGACTGCATTCATATGGTCTCTCTCCAGTATGAGTTCTTTTATGAGCTTGAAGATGATTGTGACGTGCATATGTTTTATCACACTGATCACATTTATAGGGTTTCTCTCTAGTGTGTGTTCTTTTATGTATCCGAATATAACTCTGGTGTGCATAAGTTTTACCACATATATTACATTCATAGGCTCTCACTCCAGTATGTATTATTTCATGCATTCGGAGATTACTTTGCTCTGAAAAGACTCTACCACATTGATTACATTTGTGAGGTTTCTCACCAGTATGAGTTCGTTCATGTATTTGAAGATGACTATAACGTGCAAAGGCTTTACCACATTTATTGCATTCATAGGGTTTCTCTCCAGTATGTGTTCTGATATGGATTTGGAGATTGAAGTGCTGTGAAAAGGCTTTCCCACAATGATTACATTCATAAGGTTTCTCACCAGTATGTGTTCTCTTATGTTTTCTAAGCAGAAAAGCACAAGAGAAGGCTTTCCCACATTGATTACACTCATAAGGTTTCTCTCCAGTATGCGTTCTTTTATGTATTTGAAGACTACTTTGGCATGTAAAAGCTTTACCACATTGATCACATTCACAGGTTTTCTTTCTAATACGAACTCCTTTACGTCTTTGAAGATGCCTGGGATATGAAAAGACGTTAACACATTGAGTATATTCAGAGGGATTCTCTCCAAAGTGACTTCTTTTGTACCTGCAAATATATTTGGTACATGTAAAAGCATTCATTACACTGATGAATCTGTGTATCTGATGAATTCATTTTACAATTGGGTATAATTGTAAAGAGGACTCAGATTTTTTTTTCATTTTTTTTCAATTAGCAACAAGCTTGCTTCACCTGTCATTTCCAGCTCCTTCTCCCTCCCCTCCAACCGCGTTCCCCAACTTGCCCCCCCAATCCCTCACCCAATAACCTCTCCATTCCCAAGGGAGTCTATCCAGAGTCTGTCATATCTTTAAAGGCATGGGCCTAGGCCCTTGAGGGATGAGATCTTAAAATTTACATGATGGTGTTCCCCTTCATTGAAGGTTGTTCATTTTGTGTTTTTAATGATGCCTGTGATAAGACCCTTTATTACATAGCTCATTTACTGCATCTTTTTTTAAAATGAGATTTTTTTCACATACTTGAAGAAACCTCCAAGAACTCCATACTTGCTGAATTCATAAATTTTCCTAAAGTATGGATCAAACTACATTTTCAAAGTGAACCAGGACAAACAGAAGTATTTACACATTCCAATACTCATAGGGCTTTTCTGACTGTGTGTGGTTGTTTGTTCGTATATTCCCGATAAGTTGAGAAAAAAATTAATTGTAAACTTGTGTAAGGTTCAACAAATCTGTTCAACATAAAGACTAGTATATATATTCTCATTTTTCTGAAAGAGAGAGGTATGTTGTTTCTCTCCATGTTCCTATCTTCATAATATTTGTACCCAGAGTGACATATAATAAATCTATTAAAGAAAGATTAACGAAAAGCTCCCACATTTCACTCACATAGATTGACTCTCTGTTCCTCATAGACACTTGATATAGGAATTAAAGCTTCTCCATGACAACCTTCTCGACTCTCAGAAACTGGATATCTCCTTAAATTTAGCAAAGTCACTACAAATATATGAGTAACACTAGCTTTACTATTGACTATTTGCTTATTAGAAGATTTTGGACATAATCTTATCACCTATTCAATGTATAGAACTCTTGTGATGTCTAAGCTGTATGAAACAAAAAGGACTTGGAGATCTACAGCATAGCACTCATGGAGCTGTGATTCAAATGATGATAACAGTTAATGCATTGTTTCCTTATCTTCTGTCTTAGAGAAATGGCTTGTGAAGACAAATCACCTATCTGACACTGAGATACACGAATATGTGAGAATTTAATAATCAATACACTATAACCTGTCCTTATTTACACTGTTGCTTTTCTTAAAAACTTCCAGGAATATTTATAACAGCTTGCACATGAAAATTACCTTCCATGTCTTCGAGAAGTTTGGCAATGTTCTTCAATATTATGATCTTTGCAATTGTTACCTAAAACATAGAACAAAAAAATGTATGATATATTATTAGAAATTGTGCAAAACGCAGGTTACAGTCTTCAGTTAACCGTAAAACCATGCCTGATTTATTCACCTTATTGTTCCTTTCTCAATCAAAATTCTAGAAGAGGATCAATAACCAAGAAGAGTTGCCCCTTTATTTTGAAACATGAGGTAAAATTCAGTCTTACCTATAACAGTAAGGTTCCAGTAAGTCTCCAACATCACATCTTTGTAGAGATTCTTCTGGGAAGGATTCAGCAAAGCCCATTCTCCCCGAGAAAAGTCGATATGCACGTCATCATACGTCACTGCATTCTAAAATATCCCATACAAGAGTACAACAGAAAGTGTGATAGTGATAACATTGTAAATGTATAATTCTTTGACAATATAGTCATAGAATTCTTGTGCTTCCCACACTTCTTTCATGACCAACCTTCTAATGTAATCACCACATCACTCTAGAAGAAAACTAAATAGGCAGTTCACCTCTGCCATTTATTCACCCTTCGAATAGGATATAGCCTTCAAAGAGAAATTCCAACTAACAGACATAAAAAGAGACAGGCAAACAGATCACTGGTACTGAATACCCAGCAGAGAAATTGTATGAAGAATTACAAACTACAAAGAAGATGGGAAAGCCAGGTGTACTGGTTCATGACTTTAATACCAGCATTCAAGAGGCAGACACAGGTGTATCTCATTGAGTTGGATGCCAGCCTGGTCTATGCTGTAAGTTCCAGGAGTGCCAGAAGTATATATTAATAAGGTAGAGAGAATTTAGAGGTTTATATTGAAGTTTCTACAAAGAGTTACACATTCACTCCAGTTCAGTATTCATCTTCCAGAAACCTGAAGTTTTCCCATCTAAACTACAACATTAATAAGATCTTACTATGAGGGAATGCATGTTTAACCATTTACAAATGGACAGATGAAAACACTGGCAATGTACATGTTGATCATACATGAGCATCATACTGCAGAAGAGGTAGCTCAGCAGTTAGCAGCTCTTGCTGGTTTTGCAGATAGGTGCTCTCAATTGCCAGTAATTACATGGGGGCTCAAAACAGTACCTCCAAGTTCAGGGGTTCTGAGGCCATCTTCCAACTACTGTGAGGAGCAGGCACACATGTGGTGCATACAGGCAAAAGACTCATATCCATTCAAAAGAATTCAAAACAAGCAATAGGTAAGAAAGTCACACACCTGCAATCCAATGACTCAGAAGGCTCAGGCAGTATTAACACCATGAATACACGCTATCCTGAGAAAGAGAACGGTACCCTCAGCCAAATTTCAAAACTCAAGATGAGGGTGACGCTTGGCACAAAAGCATATGTTTGCTATGTACAAAAACCTACATTTCAAGAAAGCCAGTAACAGAGAGCAAGGACTGATGACCTAAGGGATTAAGACTGGGCTGGTTTAACCCCCAGAAACAGCTGACCTGACAAGGGTTAGCTCTTGAATCCCAGGCTGATGCCTGGGAATCCAGCATGGGACTGATCAAGACCCCCTGAATGTGGGTGTCAGTGAGGAGGCCTAGGTAATCTATTGAGCCTTGGGCAGTAGATCAGTATTCATCCCGAGTATACACATGGACTTTGGACTCCCATCCAACAATGTGAGATGCACTCTCACCCTGAACTCTTGGGGGAGGGTCTAGGACCTTTCCTGGATGAAATGACAGACTATAGACACCCCCAAGGAGGGCCTCACTCTCCCTGGGGAAATCAGGGGATATTGGGAGGGTTGGGGGGGGCCCGTGAGGAGGGGAGGGAAACGGAGAGGGACCTGGAACTGACTTGTGAAGCAACCTTGTTTTTAATCTAAATTAAAAAAAAAAATTTAAAAAACCTACATTTCAGGTCCATCAGCCAAACAAAGAAACAAAAGAGAGAGATAGAGAGAGAAAAAAAAAAAAAAAAACAGGCATGCTGGCCCACCTTTAATCCCAGCACACAGGTGCCAGAGTCATTTGGATCTCTGAGTTCAGAGCAGCCTGGTCTACAGACCTACTTTCAGGACAGTCAGGACTACACAGAGAAACCTTGTCTTCAAAAACAGAATAACAAATTAAAAAAAAATCAGGCTAAGAAAATGGTTTATACTATTGTTTAGCAATCACTTCAACTGTATCTTATAAGACATATGATACCATCTATAATGATGGTGAAGTCATAAAAGCAGGACACAAACAGGAAATGGCCGGAGGCTAGAAATATGCAAATCCCATGCCCAATGAGGAATTTCATCCAGAAAGACTCCTCCTACTAAAGGTTCCACAAGAACCCAAAAGCCACCAAGGAGAGACAACTGTTCAAATACACATCATCCTATCTGTGAGGCTTTAATTCAATTGACTACATTCTGACCCAGGTCACTATAGGCTCATGGTCATCTCATGATGAAAATGTATTTGCTCTAACTCGACTACTGTCACAGCTACAACAGCTTCTACACTATTCAAATGTCCAAAGTCTCTTCTGATACTGAAGACAATCCCTTAAAAAAAATCAAGAAATAAATTAAACATTTCCAACATACAATGGCACCAGATATAGTCCCATTCAGAAAGAGAGGAATGTGGCTGTGTTTCAGCCCTCAACTTAGGCAGACATCACACCCCCATGTCAGGCAAACTCGGGCAAAGATTCCTTGATGGACCGGAGGCCACACCAACATCAGAAATCCAGGTAGGCTGTTCATCTTTGGGCCTCATCAATAAAAAACCATGTGGTGGAAAGAGTTGGAAAGGATCCAAATGGTTTTCTTTATGAATTTTATTCTTTCACTTTGGGTATAATTGTGGCTAATCATTCCCAAAAAGTTACTGCAAGCTCTTTGTTTATATTCATTATCTTCCCATAAGGAGGAATTTACTCATTAGTTAAAGTACTACAATTTCTGCTGAGTCCATTCCTGTCAGTTCATGAAGTCTTAATTTTTCTTTTAAAAATCAAATCAGAAATTGTTTCGATATGTTTTTAATTTTTTATTCTGTTTATGTGGTAGAAATATCCATTCTAATATGATATCTTCCCTCTTCATCAAAATCCCTGAAGGGTATTCCCTAGATAACCAGAATGCGGTCAAGCCTTGGATCCACACAGTCCACATGTGCTTCAAGTACTCTTTTCTACTCATTCTAATTCTTTTTCAGCTTTAGTCTAGTCTCCTTTTAGCATCTTTTTCAAATTTTTAAGATCATGTGCTTCTACTCCGATAAGAGTCTGTAGCTGGGAAATCTCTCCCAGCAATTTTAGAAGATCATTAAGAGTCTGATATCGACCTCTCCTCATCAGTACTTTTCGTGGTCTAATTTTCTGTAGACCTATTTTATATCCTAATTGACAGAATCTCCTCTTTGTATTTTTTTCAGGGGCAATTTGTAACCCCCATCAAGGCAAAACTTTCTTTACTTCCTCAAACATTTTTGCTAATGTCTCTGCCTTAGAACCAGAAAACAATATATCATCCATATAATGGCAATTTATACATTATGTAAAGTGTTTTCAAATTATTTCCAGCAGTTTTTGCACAAAACATTGGCACAGGGTGGGGCTATTTAACATTCACTGTGGGACAACCTTCCATTGATAACTTTTGATCAGCTGAGAATTATTGTAAGTAGGCACCATGAAGGCTAATTTTTATTCATGTCTTTTTGTAAACGTATAGTGAAGAAAAAAATCTTTTAAATCAATAAGTATAATACGCCACTCTTTAGGTATCAGAGAAGGCAAGGGTACTTCAGGCTGTCAAGAATCAATTGGCTGAATTATTTTATTGATGGCTCTCAGATCTGTAAGCATTCTCCATTTTCCAGATTTCTTTTTAAAAACAAATACAGGAGAATTCCAAGGACTGGTAGATTCTTCATTATCCAGCACTTAGCTGTTCCTGAACCAGCTTTTCTAGAGCCTCTAGCTTCTCAGAAGTCATAGGTCATTGCCCAACCTAGACAGGTCATCAGTTAGTCACTTTAAGGGTAGGGCTTTTGGTTCCTCTGTTTGGCACTTATATTCTGTTTCTGTACAGCATGGATTGTTGGTGTCTGCTTTATATAGTATCTTAAAATATATTTTCCCACAAACATGAGTTTGTTTATGGCTCATGCCTGATACTGGAGGAATGTTAATCTGGGTATTCCATGGCTACAATAGATCATAACCCCACAAATTAATGCATGATTCTGGCAGACACATCTATGCAAACTGTGGTAAAAGAAACTTCTTTAGGAAATGTTTCATCTCCATGATGATATCTTAGGCCAGGAATATTGTATTCCAGATTCTTGGTTCTGCCCCACCACGTCACAGCTATATTTGGTAAAAGAGAGAGTCAATGCACATTGGTCATAGACCAGAGATGGATGCCTCTGGAGACTCACCTGACTTCCTGATGCTTCATGTTCATCATTTGCTTTGTCATAATATACCATATGGAAAACTGGGAAACAAAACTGGAAGCTAATAACAAAGCTTACTGGACTCTTAGTTGTCCTTTTCCTTAATGAAGAAGATATAACTAGACCATGGTCATCAACCACTTGCTCCTAATTGACACTGATCAAATAAGGACAATGTCAAATCGGGCACTGGTGCCACACGCCTTTAATCCCAGCACTCCTGTGGCAGAGGATCTCTGTGAGTTCGAGGCCATCCCGTTCTAAAGAGTGAGTGGCAGGACAGCCTCTAAAACAATACAGAGAAGCTCTGTCTAGAAAAACCAAAAAAAAAAAAAAAAAAAAAAAAAAGAATGATACTGCCTTACGATGGTTTGCTTAGCTTTGAGTCCTACAGCTCCAACCCGAGACCCCACCTTTTCTACATTTCTGTTTGAAACTAGTTGCATTTCCTTTCATTTCTGAATGTGTTTTCAACTTGGTACATACCAACCCTGGAGAAAATTTAAATTTGGGAAAACACCTGTATGTCAGAGGGATCATACCAACATCCAGTGATCTACACTGTTTTGACCATTTTGTTTAATAACTGTATGCTTTAGTGCCTGAGATTTATTTTCCTGCATTTATTTCTCTATTACTAATTGGAATATTTATTGCATGCTGTCTTGTTTTCCCATTCACGTCTGAATTTACAAGCTGCTATGAAATTGTTATTAATTATTATATGTCTCCATCAGCACTGTGTGCACATCAAGAACCGGGGGATACAATATAATGAATATGTTAAAAAAAAACATGAACATATGTAAAAAACAGCTTAGGTGGGAAACCCACTACACCCAAGGCTGTACCTGATAGCCAGAACCCATTGATATCACTGAGCCCAAATAACCAGACACAGTTCTCCCTCATGACACCCACTGGACAGTATATAAGCAGGGATCTGCTCTGTACATATGGAGAGAGATCATCTTGATCTGGCCATCTGCTAGAGAATCTACCTCAGGATCCCGACCCCTGAATCCTTGACTTCTGTTAGAGACTAGACCTTACCTTCAGCTAAGGTATATCACACATGTGAGCAGCCTTGAGGAGACAAGCTTAGGGCCACAGTTGGGAATTTAGAGTGTGAACCTGTGAGATGACCATCAGCATAATAAAACATAACTTGTGTTATAATAACTAGGCATATCTATCTTCTTTCATGACGTCACTTTTCTATGATTGGTAATTAGATGTAAGTCTGCATCAAAGGGAGGAAAGGAAAACTTTTCCAAACCAAATACAAGAAAACAGAATTTTAAAGAAACATTGTATGACTCATGTTACACACCAAAAGCAACTTGTTTTGCTCTAACTGCTTTATAAGACACAAGCACTTTTGAAAACAAATTAATCCCTGCTTTTTACCCGTATGTTTGTGTGTTCAAGAGAATGTCTTCCATGTGTGTACAGGTTACACACCACAAAGGAGGGTTTCAGAACCCCTGAACCAAGAGGACCAGGTGGTCATGCACCTCCCAAAGGGGATGGTGGGAGCTGAACTCCGGTCATAGCCAAGAAGGAGATATGCTGAGCCACCTGCCCAAGCCCATGATACTTTTTATTCAATAAACTAAGTCTTTCACAGACTAACAACAACCACAAAACATAAATGAACCAAGCAAATAAATGATCACTGGGAATATGATTCATCAATGTTGAGATGCATGTGGTCAATTTGCACCATAAATTGAATAAAATCCAGAGACAATGCCCAAAAAATTATCACAGAAAAGGTCACTCTAAACACTCATAATAATCAATGGGATTATTAAAAAATAGTACACAGATTGACACAATGTGACTTCTATATTTACCACAATAATCAAGAATGTATACAAGGTTTATGTAGGAATAAAGGGGATGGACTGAAAAAGCCAAGAGAAAAGCAGGAAAATATAACCAACTTTTCAAAAGACCAAATGCAACACAGCCAGGAAATGTGGGGTCTTGATCAATCTG